AATTATTCTGTAAAAATTAACTTAGGCCTTGTGTGCATAAAAATATGTTTATTAGGTAGTCATCTTTTGGACATCTTATAAATTAACTCAGCTTTGACACGTAAAAATGTTACGGTGAAAAAAAATAGTAAGCCAAACATTCAATCCTTCGTTTATATCAGAAACATTTTATCGTCTTTAGTTTTCATTTCTTCTTCATGTAAGGATAAATTGGTTATTTGTAGGTTAAAATTTTCCATATTTCTTTAAAAAATTAGATTTTGGCATTTTTTAAGAAAATGATTGCCTTTGATTTTATCTTTCTGCCTTATGAAACTTTGATTTTATCTTTCTGCTTTATAAAGCTTTGATTTTACACTTTGCTAAAAAGAAGAAGGTTACTCTGGATGTGAACATATTAATATCGAATACCTGACGCCTTTGGAATTTTTAGTAAAAGCTTTTACCATTTCCATTTTTGTCTTTGATCTGAGAAATTATCTCGGCTAATGCTTACTAAAATCATTATGTTATAAAAATTCAAAGATGCATTAATAAAACTTTAACTAATATTTATTTTTACTGTTTTGTCATAGAATAAATAATTCAGCTATGGCGTAGATATACAATATAGTATTCTATCAAATACCCAAAGAACGGAAGATTGGTAACTTCTTAACTTTTCTCTTTTTCATTGTTGAGAAACTAACTTGACTAACTAACTAACAAAAATAACTCATCTATGGTTTATATATAACACCTATTGTTCCATCATTATTCAAAATTTGAAACCTTTGGGGTTTTGTCAGAAAAAAAGAAAATAAAATAATTTGGCACCTTATGGCAGAAAGCTTTACTCATTTTATGGTTAATATCGTGAATACAGCTTTAGCACATTGTTGGAATTTTGGATTATCTCCTAGGAAATTTCAGCATGATATTCATATATGAATCTTTTTTTGTGACAGCTGAAGGATTGTATTGTGTCTTCTCTTGCTATGGAATCGTTTGAAAATCTTAAAACGTTATCAATAGTTTGTCATCATTTCATTTTCATAGTAAGATATAAGTCTGAAGCAAGTGGGCATCATAAACGTAAATTTAATAGATTATATGCCCTCATTTTGAGTTTTGTTCCAAGTACTTCTAGTTAACCCTTTTTTTGCCTGGTATCTCGAGTTTTTACAGAAGTAAAATGACGACATCAAGTTTTGAAAAACTGTATGATATATACCCTTAAATCACCTCCAAAGTAAACTAATAACTGAAATGTTGAGATTTGAAATTTTCATATGTGGTAAGTTTCATTTAACACTGGTTTCGGACGAAGTAATTAAGATAATTTAAATTACTAGCTATAATCTTCAAGTTTTGCCCCTGTTGTAATTGTTATTGCGATTATGGAAAGCATTCAATTTCGCATCTGCAGAGATACATCTCGTTAGTGAACGAAACTAAGCCGCATATCTGTAAACTTTGCACTTGCTTGAAGCTTATTTTAGCTCAGATAGTTTAGACACACTGAGTTTTTTAAGCTGTTGATGTAAAATCCAACTATCCGTATGTTTTTCTTTTCTTTTTCACAAGTTGAAAGTTTTTGAAGCTGTCATCCCTCAGTTGCTGGAGTATATTGTTCCTCAAAACCTATAGTTTTGTCAATATTCTCTCTATATGAATAAAACACATCAGGTTGTTTTAAACAGAGTATATTCACAGAAACAACTTAGATGTAAATATCAACTACTTTTTTAGCATTAACCCTTTGTTTCATATTAACGATCAAGCACTCATTCTTGGAGTATTGTTTTACGTATAACAGTTGTTCAAAGGAATATTTTCGATCCGCCACTAGAATGAAAGGGTAATTATTTAGATGTACACTATGCGTGAACTATGAAATGTTCTCAAACTGATATTTTAATCTTCTATCAAAACTTAGGATACACGAAAAGTAACAATTACATGGATAGTTTCTATTACCCTAGTAATCATGGTTAGAAAAGGCAATGCGTGTTGTTTACTATAGTAGTGAATAAACTTTCTGTACAAAACCCAATCGTATCATAAGTGAAAATCACCCATAACACACAGGTAAAGTAGTTTCTGCACATATATTTATAAGTTGAATCTAATACTTTCTTTTAGCCTATACTGTTGAACTTCATTTGATCTTATTTTTTACGTAAAAATTGAAACATTTAAATTTATTCAGCGAAATTTTTATTTTCAAAATCTTTAGTAAAAGGTGAAATTTCCTTCCATTACTTTTCCTTAACATAGACATTTGTAATATGGCCCCCTTCCAGACTGTTCTTTCTCGCGTCTATTATTTCACTAATACACTAAATATGATCTTTTGCAAAACCCTTTCTTTCGTCCTGGCATGGACAGGTGGTTAGGGCGCTGGGACTGGTAATCTGCTGTGCACGGCCCGTGTTCGAATCTTCGTCCTACCAAACATGCTTATCCTTTCAGCCGTGGAGGCGTTATAATGTTATGGTCACTCCCACTATTCGTTGTTAAGCTGAAAGAGTAGTCCAAGAGTTGGCGGTTGGTGGTGATGATTAACCCTCGTATAGCTTTGCGCGAAATTAAATCTGTACTTTTGTCAGTAACTTTACCTAGGGCTCTAGATCACTCCATAAATATTTTATGTTCTTCCTGTCATGCTAATAAGCATTTATCATTTTAAAAACTTCGATAATAGTTTGTAGTTTTATAATATCGTTACTTAAACCCTCCAGTGGCTCAGCTATAAGTCTGCAGGCTTCCGATACTAAAATCGGGTTTCGATACCTGGGGCAGAACACAGCTAACCTATTGTGTAGCTTTGCGTAACAACAACCAAACCTTTAATTACCCGTTACTTACTCAGTACAATTTAAGGCCTCTATATAAACTATTTTTGTTCATCTATTCTGTAATGCTGTGAAAGCTTTCGTCGTTTTCTACTGCAACATAATAACATTTTTGAATACAGTTGTTTAAACATTTGTTTAACAACAATTAAAATATTGGAATGGTCCATTCTTTCATTGGGGGTGTGTGTCTGTGAGCCGGACTAGTTTCGGAGAATTCCACTCCTCATCAGTGACCCTGGACACTACCATCAATGAAACTTCAGACCAAACCAAGCCTTTATAGTGTTTAACACTCACAAAAAAAACTACCATTCTATAGGTATATAAAGAACTTGTAGCATTCCATTAAATTGTGGCGGAATGCTACAAGTTCTTCAAATACCTATAGAATGATAGGTTTTTTTTTGTGAGTGTAAAAAACTTAAATACACCATTTCGAATAACATTTTTATTCTAAAGATGCACTAAGTAAGTGAATATCCTCGTTATATTAGTTTTTCATTCAATATGCACGACTATTGAGGTGTTTAATGATTGTTTGTTTGTTTTTGAATGTCGCGCAAAGCTACACGAGGGCTATCTGCGCTAGCCGTCCCT